AAAAAAAAAAAGATTCTATTTATTTTTATTTTTTGTGTGGAAGTGTTTTGCCTGCATGTATGTAAATATACCATGTGCATGCATGGTGCCCAGGAGGCCACAACTGTGCATTATGGACAGTTGCTAGCCACCATGTGGGTACTGGGGACCAAATCTGAGTCCTTTAGGAAAGCAGCCAGTCTTCTTAACTGCTGAGCCATCTCTTCAGCACTAAGGTTTTCTTTTAATTGAAAAAATTGGGTCTGGAGAGATGGCTCAGGGGTTAAGAGCATTGATCCTCTGTTCTTCCAGAGGATTTAATATTCTGTTCCCAGCACCCACATAGTAGTTACAACTAATAACCATGAGTAACTCTAGTTCCAAGGGATCTGATGCCCTCTTCTGAAATCCTTGGGCATTGCATGACACACTGCACCTACATACATGCAGGCAATACATACACATAAAATTAAAAATAATAAAGAAAATATTTGAATTGAAAAAATTATGCTAAGGGCTAGGGGTGCAGCTCAGTGGTATAGCACTTGCTTAGTATGCCTGAGGCCCTGGGTTCAATCTCAAACAGTACAAAAATAAAATTATGCGAAGTTAAATAAATAAGTCAGTCACAAAACTGGTTCTATTTACATGAGGTACCTAGCACAGTCAAATCCATCAAGACAGAAGGTAAAGATCATGAAAAGTCAGAGCAGGAGAAAGGGAAGAGACTGTTTAATGGATCCAAGTTCCGTTTGAGATGAGAAACAAAGCTGTGGGGTTGGAGAAGGTGATGAACCAACAACAGTGTGGCTGAACTTAGTGCCACTGAACTCCTTGGATAATTAAAAGTGGTAAAATTTATGTGACTAGACAGAAGTCTGATGTGGGAGTGTAAGGTAGACAATGACTTTAGAAAATGGTTTAGCAGTACATCCTGAAGCTAATATATGCATTCCCAAGACCCAGCAATCCTACTCTGATATTTAGAGTCAACAAAAAATATATTCGCCAGGGCCCTCAAGATGGCTCAGTGGGTAAAAAGTACTTCTTCACTGCCCAGCCCAAGGACCTGAATTCTATCCCTGGAAACCCCATGGGAGAGAACTGACTCTCCCAAGTTCTCCTCTGACCCCCACATATGCACATCCACACATATAACTCTGCATACCACCCCACACCCACAAATAAATAAATGTTCATTTTTTTTATATATAAATGCATTTACTGGGCTAGGGATGTAGCTTAGTGGTAGAGTGCTGCCTAGCATGTCTAAAACCTTGAGTTTATACATTTCTCCACACTGAAAAAAATTATTTATTTACTTATTTTGTTTTTCGTATATGAGTGTTTTCCCAGGATGAATTTAAGTGTACCACGTATGTGTAATGCCTTTGGAGGCTAGAAGAGGGTGTCGGGCCCCCTGGAACTGGAGTCACAGATGGTCACTAGCCACCATGTGGATACTAGGAACAGAACTGGGTCCTGTGCAAAAGCAGCCAGTGCTCTTCACTGCTGAGACCTCGCTCCAGCCAACCAAAAGATGTGTGTCAAAATGCTCACAGCAGCACTTCAAAGCAGAATGGACAGAAGCACTGTGGTACCCTCACATTTCGAAGTGAGTCAACTCAAGGACACGTAACCACAGGAATGGTTCTGATAAACATGGAGCTGAGCAATAAAAGCCAGATACAAGGAAGGAAAAACAGAACTCCTCCTCAACATGTAGTTGAGGCAGGCTCCTGTAATAAAGAATAACAAGAAAAAGCAAGCACATTTATTAACATGTACAGTGCGTGTCACATGGGAAAAGCCTCAGTGAAAGGCACCGAAAGCAGGGGTTTAGAACTCAGGTTTGCGCGGCTTTTACAACAAAGAACGGTACATTTCAGAGAAATGACAAGACAAAGGAAAACAGTTACAGGCTCCCAGCGGCAGGAAACGGTGGCCAAGTAAATCCATGGGAGCAAACTAATGGAGTGAGATTTGTTTATGGATTCTTCTGGGGCTGTCTCTCAGTTGATAAGAGTTGTCTCCAGTAAGGAGAATTTATATCCTGTCCTTAGGGGGAAAACCAGGAGGGCAAAGACCTCCTTCCTGTTTCCACATACATTCATCTGTATTTCAGTGTTGGGTATGGAATCCAGGTTTTGTACATGCTAGGCAAGTGTTGGCTCCCTGAGCTCCTTTGGTGCTTCTTAACTGCCTTTTGCTTAAAAATATTTATATCCAAAAGGCATATTCTGGGCAAGACATTTAGTATGATCCCATTATGTGAGGCTGAAAAATAGGCTAAGTTTATCTAGGCAGAAAAAGTTAGTGGGACAGGCAGAAGGGCTTAAGAACTTAGAGAAATGCCGTGAGCTCCTGAGTGCAGTGGCAGCTCTCCAAAGCCCCA